CTCCCCCCACTCTCCAACGCCAACAGGACAGCCAAATGTAGGCAAGAGCTCGCTGCTCAACGCGCTCTTCGGCGCCAAGGTGAGGCCAGTCCATTTGCGCCGGTCAGGGGGGCAGCGGGACAGAAGGGCGCTGAACGGTTCTGCCATCCCCCCCCCCTCCCCCCCTTTCTTCCTGTGGCCCAGGTTGTGCGCGCAAGCAAGACGCCGGGCAAGACGAAGCACTTCCAGACGCACTTCATCGGGCGCACGCTGCAGCTGCAGGACTCGCCCGGCCTCGTGTTTCCCTCGTACGCCGGCATGGAGACGTGCGTGGTTGTGTGCCATTCCTGCCTTGCCCCCTTCAGGAGAGGGTGTGGGCCGTGGAAAACTGACACATAGGACGCGCTCTCTCTCTCTCTCTCTCTCTCCCACATAAAGCCAGGTCTTCGGCGCCATCCTGCCCATCTCGCAAGTGCAGGCCGTGTCGACGTGCGTGGCGTGGGCGGCGGCGCATCTGCCCCTCGAGCGCATGCTGCACCTCGAGCTGCCGCCCAGCGACGACGCGGGCGGCGCGGGCAGTGGCAGCGCCGCGGCCCCGCGGCAGCCCGGCGAGGCCGCGCCGCACGAGTGGACGGCGACGCGCATCCTCGAGGCGCTGGCTCGCAGGCACAACTACAAGACGGCAAAGGCCGGCCGCTGGGACTTGAACCGGTCAGTTCGCGCGCTGCTCCGGAAGGGAGCCTCGGACTGGGCCCCCCCGCTCACGCAATCGCCGGGGCAGTGCGGGCAACGGCCTGATGCGCTCGCTCGCCGAGGGCCGCGTGCCCTGGGCCTTCCGGCCGCCGCCGCCGCCCATGGCCGACGCCGCCGCCGCCGCCGCGCTGCCGCCCGGCTGCATCGGCGACGCGGCCCTCGATGCGCGCGTGCTGGCCGGCGACGGCATCTGGCTCGGCAGCGGCCGCGGCGTGCCCCAGACGCACGCCGACGCTGAAGCGAGCGACGACGACGATCACGACGACGACGACGACGACGACGATGACGACGACGACGATGACGACGACGACGACGACGAGGGCGCAGCGTCTGCCGGCGAGCGCGGGGCGCAGGACAAGCAGGCGCCTCTTGCTCGCAGCGTGCGCTTCGGACCGGGCACCAAGAAGGCGGCGCCAAGCGCACGCGAAGAGAGCGAGGAGGAGAGTGAGGTGGAAGAGGCCGTGGCTGCGAGCGGCGGCATGTTTGCCGCGCTGGCGCTCGACGGCGACAGCGATGGCGGCGAGAGCGGCAGCGAGCGCTCTGCTGCGGCAGAGCACGAGCTCTGACGCCCGACGAGACGCACAGGGAGCGCGCGACGACACTGCTGTGGCGTACGAGGAGAGGGCAATGAGAAGAGACCCTCTTCCATACCGTTGTCTACACCGCTCCATCCCGCCCTGTCGCCGTCGGACTGCACGCGGCCTGGAGCTGCTTCTCCTAATGTAGTGTGTGTATTGGCCCACGCATCGGCGCCGCGGCGCAGACTTCACGCCTCTTGCGAGCCAGGCAGGAAGGCCCACGCCGTGCCCGTCGCCGCAAACACGAGCGACACGCCCAGGATGGCAACGTCGGCGCAGACGCGCGCACGCGACATGTCGGCGTGGTTGAGCTTGAGGTCTGGGGGTGATGGGCGCGCGCGCGAGAGGGACATGGGTCAGCCACAATGAGGT